TTTTTTTTTTTTTTTTGTTTGTCCTGTGAAGTATCGTAACTAACCTGGCCTTCCTGGGCTTACTTGGCACCCGCTACCCAAGAGATAGACCACTGGATCCCCCGATCGGCATCAAGCAGAGTCTGCTATGTTCGTAGGGGAGGGGCCTGAGGGGAGGCACGGGGGATTGGTTCGCTTTATCCCTGGTGCTACCGGCCGTCCCCTGGCCGGTATCCTGCAGGCTCGAGGGGCCGTAAAAACACGGCTCTGGTATGCTACGGATTTCCCCGTATGCCTATAAGTAGTAGTAGTGGTAGGTAGGTAGTGTGAGGAAAAATTGAGAGAAGTGTAGAGTCTTTAAAAAAAAAAAAAAAAAAAAAAACTACCCTGGCCGGCCCGAAATATTGCACACTCATTTTATCCTGCTCATCTACACGTTTCTGGATTCGAACTTGGGTCTGTACGGCTCCGTCCTGCACGCCTTCACTCCTACCGGATTCCCGGTGGCACTATGGCTGCGGGCCGGCGTCCTCGCGGTATGTCAGTGGCCGTGTGGCTGTTGCTGGTGGCTATCAAGATCCAGATGGCTGCGATGTCTGCTGCTACCGCCGTAGTCCTTGTCAGGGTCTTCCCCTCCGTACTGCATCCCGGCCTTTCCATTTCGGGAAAGCGACTTCTCGGCCTTCCTAGAAAGGAAATTGGTGTGGTGTCCGGGTGGCGCCTATGGACCAAACACATGCGGTGTCCTGCATGAGTGCCGCACTCGCCACCCCTCGACCTCCGCCCGAAAAAAACGGACAGTCGCTGGTCCGTTTTTGAAAACCAACCTTGGAAAGTCGGCCGCACTCGCCACCCCTCGACCTCTGCGATGGGCACGTTTTCGCGGCGAAAATCGCTCGGCGACCACTTTTCCAAGGACGGAACCATGTGGAAACGGAATCCTTGACTCTTCCAGGCCACGAAATGCGGGTAGTGGGGTCCCGGATACTTGCTTTTGGAAGACTTCCCGGTTCTTCCAGGCCATCTTCCGCCCGCTGTGGGGTCCCGGAAACGGCCTCTTGGAAAAGTTTTTCCTTGCCGCTTTTCTGTGGGGTCCAGACTGACCTGGCCTGGGGTGGAAGCGTGATCGGCAATTTGAACAACGGTCCCGCCCACGCTGCTGCGCTTCCCTTCCCATGTAGGCGCTTTGCCATCGCCGCCCATGTTTCACTCACACACACACACACACACACACACACTCGTGCTTTTTTAGAGTGCATAGCGAATATGACAACACACACACACACACACACACACACACAGAGAGAGAGAGAGAGAGAGAGAGAGAGAGAGAGAGGCGTTACATTTAGGTGAACTGAATATAATGCACCCGAGTGCCCAGGATCGTCCCGTGGCACGCACACACACATATATACACACACACACACACACAGAGAGAGAGAGAGAGAGAGAGAGAGAGCGCTTGATTCCTGACTGCTTCCTTTATTTTCAGACGAATCTGACCACATATGTGCATTACATTCAGTCCAGTCGCAAACACGTCGCAGGTTCGTCCCGAAATGGCCGCAGGGCGGACACACACAGAGCAACCGGGGCCGGCGCGGGAGGGGAGAGAGAGAGAGAGAGAGAGAGAGAGAGAGAGAGAGAGAGAGAGAGAGAGCGCACTCACACATACACGGATGGAGACGGCTAGATACCTGCACGCGAAGGGATGGGGGGCAGCGCGGGCAGGAAAGCACTCTACTTGACGTACTCCCCCCCGGCCAGGGCGGGCACGTCTAACTCGTGGTCCAATTTTATGCGCCAGGCTTTAGGCCAAAAGGGATGGCATTTGGAAGGGGAACTTTGCTGCGATTAGGGATTTGGGAAAAAGAAAAAGAAGAACACAGAATGTTACGGAGGTAGAACTGTCGATGAATGGATCGATTGAGTTTGAATCCTGACCTCATCAGATGGACATGTAATACAATACAGTAGAATGACCTTACCAATTCCAAGAGAAGACAAGCTTATGGGCTAAGGACAATCAAAGGAAGACAAGTAAAGAGGTGAGGTAACCAGCATCACACAGTCCTGGCTTTCTGCCCGCAAAGTCGTCTTCTCTCCTGTCCTGTCGATATTGCCATCCTGCCTCCTAATAAGCTCCTATGACCCTGGGCCCGTGGCTATGACCACGCGTCCCCGGGCCGGTGTCCCATTACCGTAACTGTCCCACTGCATCCTGGAGTACCAGCTGTCGCCCAGCGTATAGTAGTGGCTGCCGTGGTGTCGCCCAGCCTAGCGGTGGTAGTTGCTATAGTAGTGGCTGCCGTCCTGCCTGCTGCTTCCATACGGTCCTGCAGCGTTTTGCGACTGCTTTATAAATCGTGTAGGCTCTGTCTTGTGCTCCAGTGGCTGTCGCCCTGCATGTGTCGACAGTCTCCCGCTGTCTGCCTGCCGGACCTTCCCACCCCGTGCTTTCCTATCCCAGTATTGGCAATTTGGCAGTGTGCGGCAGGTGTGGCGGCGTAAGCCGATGTGCAGCAGCTGCGCCTCTCTCCCTGGCGCCCTACGCCTTCGGCATCTGTCGCACGGCCAGTTTCTGCCTTGCCCAACACTTCTACAGTAGCGGCTCTCGTGGACACCTGCGTGCAGGCCAGTGTGGGTAGCCCTGTTCCTGATTGATTGTTGATGAGACCCGCCGTGCATGGAGGTGTTTGCTATGAACTTCGGCTCGCTGTCATAAAAGCTAACGTGATTCTTTGACTCGGTTTGCAGTTGACCATGTCGGCATGAGCGGCGTTGACTTGTCTCCACGTCGGCATGAGCGGCGTTGACTTCTGTCTCCACGTCGGCATGAGCGGCGTTGACTTGTCTCCCCGTCGGCATGAGCGGCGTTGACTTCTCTCTGACTCGTTTTGCAGTTGACCACGTCGGCATGAGCGGCGCTGACTTCTGTCTCCACGTCGGCATGAGCGGCGTTGACTTCTGTCTCCACGTCGGCATGAGCGGCGTTGACTTCTGTCTCCACGTCGGCATGAGCGGCGTTGACTTCTGTCTTCACGTCGCCATGAGCGGCGTTGACTTATGTCTCCACGTCGGCATGGGTGGCGTTGACTCTTTTCCCCTGCGTGTTGCTGAGCTAGGCAAACTGTTTGTCGCGGGAGTTGAACTCGGGAACAAGTTCCACGTAGAGTGCATGTTGGTACGTCACGTGCATGATTCGTTGGATCGGGATACTATAATCAGGCCGATTATGGCGGACGCCGCGGAGCTGACGAGAGTCTTCTCTCTTGCAGGGTGCTTCCTGATTGACTACTTTTATGGCGCCTCCGCCTCGGTCACTGACCACCTGATCGTTACGCACGAGGCTTGGGACAGCAATTTGTTGGCCCCATCACCAGCGGCTGTGGGCAAAGTGGGGTTTCCTCGGAGTACCAAGGGTAAGAAGAGGAGGGTTATCTCCCGGAATGATCCCGCGGTTTCGACAACTTCTCCGGAAGCGATCGGCGGGACCGAGTACGTTGCGCGGGAAAATGGGTACGCCCCTGCTAGGGGCTATTTTCCCGCCATTATCTCCGTCATTCCTTCCGTGGGGGATGAGGATCTAGTGCTAGTGGTGGGTGTTCGCTTTCGTCTGCTGACGGCACGGGATCCCGACTTAATGGAATCTAGCGCGGGAGTCCTTGAGGCTTCAGTTGGGAGAGAGACACCTCATCGTCGCCCTCGGAGAACCACTCGAAAGGAAATTATCATGCAGCAGAAGGGGACCGGGAACCTTCGCAGGGCGGCGCGAAACGAACCCGGCAAAGTGGGCGCTGAACTGCTGCGGCAGATTCAGCGCCCTCAACCAGGACGATGGATCCAGCATCGTGTCGAGTACACGAACGCAGACACGGACACCGAAGTGGACAAGGACGCCGACAATGACACGGACCTGGACACGGATATGGATGCACGGATAGAGAAGAGCGATGGCGTCGCTCTTCTCTATCCGTGCATCCATATCCATCTTCAGGTCCGTGTCCTTGTCACCGCGTTCTTGTCCCCATCCGTGTCCCTGTCTGCATTCCTGTACTCAAGGGGATGCTGGATCCATCGTCCTGGTTGAGGGCGCTGAATCTGTCGCAGCTGTGCAAGAAATCCGCCAGACTCGTTGCCACGTCCGATACCAGCTGCGTTACTCGGAGCGGGTCGTTGCGAGGGTAACCAAACCACACACCAAGCACCACCGATGACGCACGTAAAAAATCCACGGCCATCAAGACCAAACTCACTACCCTTCTTCCCCCGAAAACAACCGACGGTCATTGTAGCTGAATTTGGACTCCAAGATACCCCAAATTCAGCTATAATGACCGTACGTTGTATTGGGGGGAAGACTGTTGTAGGCGGGGTAGAAGCCTCTGCTCGAAAATTGAGCGCCGGCGCCGCCATCTTCACGCGCGCGCTCTGAAAAGAAGTGAACGCCGCTCAAAATTGCGGTAGTCGAACCAATGGCCCAGCCAGAAAGAAACCGTGCCGGATTTAGGAAACAGGAAAAGAGGCAAAAAAACAAAACCCAAAAAAACAAAACCCAAAAAAAGAAAAGCTCCCGCAGTCGCCGCCAAGTGCGCCGTCTTCGTCCCATAGGGCCATAGGTAATCCACTCCGCCGCCAACCGTTGATTTACCCCATGTTGTCGTATCTGACGTGGCTGACGTGTCTGTCGTCGATCAGATCGATCGTAGTTGGTCATTTCTGCCCCGCAATGCGATCTTCCGAGATGGTCGTTGGCTAAAACCTCGACTTGACCGTTGACTTGACCGTTGACTTGACCGTTGACTTGACCGTTGACTTGACCTTTGAATCAGCCGGTGCGGTCGTTGTTGACGTTGGTGTCGATATGATCAGCGGTCGTTGATGATGTCGGCTTGACGATGGTGTCGGGTCGTGGAGGTGGTCGTCCGCACGAGCTTTGATGGTCTGCCTCTAAGCCGCATCTCCAGATTCGTGGGGCATCTGATTCGGCAAACGTGAGATTCGATCAACGAGGAGCATTGAGGACAGAACCCTGATTACCAATACTTGATCGCCGCATCCCCTCGCGAACCCCTTACCCCGGTTACCTCCCCCCATCGTCAACCGGTTCAGCAGTCACATTTCACCTCTCCTCTGTGTCCTTCCTCGTCCATCGATTCTAA